CTGCTGCTGCTGCTCTCAGAGATTTGTCATGGGCAAGGAAGGCTGTGGGGCTGATAGTTTTGTAGGTATTCAATAGATATTTTGAAAAATCGGAAGGTGTTTTTTTTTTTTTTAATATTTAAGATTCAAGCAAGAACACAGACACCAATCCAGACAATAATCTGACCTTTAGAAATAATTCACACTTTCCATCCTTCTAGACTAAATTATAACCAACTAGCCTGAGGAGCTTAATGCAACCTATTCTCTCTCCTGCACTGACCCTTCTCTTCCCATTCAAAAATGGCCCAATACATGGCCCAGCTTTTCTCATGCTCACTTTTTCTATATTTCTGCATGGATGATTTATTTGTGCAATAAATGTGTACTGCAGGGTTTGGCAATGTCTGCAAATGGCATAAAACACAATCTTGAGAAGCAAGGTCAGGGTGGTCCCACCACGTGACTGGCCCTGTCTTCCTCCCCTCGAATAATCCAGCTTCCCCTCTTCTTTGTGTTTCCTCTTCATTCACCCAGAACCCTAGTCTTACCAATAAATGGTTGTTACAGCGTCCCTTCAAACGCGTTAGTTGTTGGGTGGCAGTTCCGAGGGTTAGTAACATTTTTTTAAAGGACACTCTTGAAGGAAAAAGGGGGAGTAGCCCTGAGGCAGACACTGCCATTTCCTCCAATCACGTGTGAGAAGTCAGTTTTCATTCGGAAACCACCTCCGAAAGTGTGCCAGTCATTGAAAGAGTTCTTTTTATACCGTTTCTAGTCTTCAAAGCTTTCCCACATATAGATTACTCCTTTTGAACTCCCAAACAACCTGTAAGGCAGGTAGAGTAAACTTGTCACCAGTTTACCGAATATGATGCTAAGTCACAGAGAGGTTAAGTGGGTGTCCTAAGGTCACACAGCTAGTTAGTGTCAGCTGGGCAGCGGCCATTCTAGATCCGCAAGCTCCCACAATAAAAGATTTTTCTTACCACAGAGGCAATTCTCAAATTCCATCTTTGGACACTAATGGCTGCCTGGCACTTTCCATGAATGTCCCCCGTCTCTAATTACCTGCCTAGCTCAGTCCAAGTGACTTCCAGAATATAAGACCTAGCTTTTTAAGCTGACCTTCTCTAATACATAGCAATATAATGAGGGTGCTGACATTCTGTCATATAATATTTCTGCTATAATTGTTTGGGGGCATTTTAAGTGGTATTATATTTGGGCCCGTACACTAGGGTACACTCTAAAAATCAAATAAGGAGAAATAGAAAGTCTAAAAGACCCTAAAAGTTACACCCAAGCCTCCCAACTGGGAAATAAAAAATCTTTTCAAGTACAGCATGTCCTTGAATAATGTCATCTCCTTCAACATCATTTTATTATAATGTTTATGAAATGCTGTAGGAAATTAATTCTTATTTATATCAATTATCCTATAGTAAAATTGGTTTCTTTACCTGTCATTTCACTTAAAGTCACAAAACCTATTGATGGTGTTAAGTGAGGACTTATGTATCCTATTCCGCATGCTCTAAGCCTTAAACTCTTTTGTTCTTAAACTGTAGCTTCTGCTGTCATATTGGGAACCATGACTATCAGACAAGGGCGATGGACATTGTGTCCTTCATGGAAGATTTCATTTAGAAGGAAGTTCGTGAGGTTCATCGGTAGGTGAGGGTCACACTGCTCTCGGGTATTATAGAGACTGGAGGGCCTCCTTAATCACTTCAGCATGAGATTCCTAAAACTGCCTCACAGATCACAGACCCCTAAGTATTCTCCTAAAGACCCATTTTCCTACTGACAGTGTAGAAAGTTCCCAAGTCATGTTTCTTACTCAAAACATTTGTTTGACAATTAATAATTAATGCTGCTTCCCATGTAGCTGTGCCTGCTTGGACACTACTACCAAATGACACAGGTCTAACTATGCTCTCCATTCTCAGACAAGACCCAGAGCTCTCCGCTGCCTCTGGGATCGAGTCCCAGTCCCTCCCCCTGGCGTATAAGACTCTTCATCGCATGGTCCAAGGCTGCCTTTCTAGCCTTTCGCCTGACACTATCCTATGTGTTTCACACCAACTCAACTATTTCCTTTTCCTCACAAACATCCTACAGTTTAGGGCCTAAACTCTCCTGCTACCTTATTTACTTGTCACTTCTTCCACCTGAGTACTTTGTCCTTTCTCTGCCTATCTGATTCCTACTCAGCGTTAAAAGTCTAGCTCAAAAACTTCCTTTGTTCCAAATTTAGCTATTTATATAAACTGACCCTTGAACACCACAGGTTTGGACCACATGGGTCCACTTAGATGGGGATTTCTTTTCAATAAATACTGTAAATGTATTTTCCTTATGCTTTTCTTAATAACACTCTTTTCTCCGGCTTACTTCATTGTGAGAATATAGTACATAGTACATATATAACATACCAAATATATGTTAACTGAGTGTTTGTTACTGGTAAAGTTTCTGGTCAACAGCAGGCTACTAGTAGCTAAGTGTTTGGAGAGTCAAAACTTCAGGTGTATTTTCAATGCCCCTAACCCCCCCTGCTGTTCACGGGTCAGCTGTACACGTCTTCACCCTCCTTTTAAATTGCGTTATACAGTACTTAATGTAACCAATTTGTTCATGCTAGGTGTTCAATGAGTTTGGTTGGGTAAGTGGATAAATCTCATGCGTCCACACCACTATCTCACGAGACAGGAAGGAGCAGTAGGGTCTCGATGTCAGTTGGTGAATCAGGAACATTAGGAAGAGGGTTGGCCTTTTATGCAGTTTGCTCTTTACATCTGGTCAGTTTTTCCCCCTTTTGTGACCTAGGGCCTCAACTGTCTTGCCTCAGCTGAAAGTGCATAACCACCACATCAGTGCCTAGTGAGAAAGTTGGGGAATTTTTCTTGCAGGACTCCTTATTTTGAAGTACTGATAATACCTTTTTTCCTAGAACTTTTTTTTTCATTCTTACAAGGTGGTGTGGTTTACAAGGAGCTAAGGAAAACAAATCCTGAACAAAAAGTCAAGATCCCCAATGGAGGCTAGAGGTCTGCCTGCCTCGATTCCCAGAGCATATCAGCAAGGCAGTCTTAGTGAACAGCTGCGCTGGCTGCTCCTCAGTGGCCTCCCTAACTGCATGGCTCCTGAGGTGTGACCAGAGATCTGACCTAATGAAACCCAACCGGCAGGGTCACAGGGCCGCTGAAGCATGAGTCTGCATTTCTCAAGTCAACGTAACAGAATCTGAGCCGTGCGCAGCGGACAGTGGGCCAGAGGCCTATCTGGTAGCCAAGGGCACGGCTGGGGCTTTAGAATAACAGCACGAGGTTGTAATCGGATGCCATCCCAGGACATTTAGCCAGTTAATCATCTCAATCACCCATCTTTTATTCATAAACAGAAGGAACGATGTTTTCTTTTCACTGCTCCCTTTGCTCTTTCAGGTTACACCAATATTATGCGATCCTTACTTTCCCTTTTGTCATATAAAATGCACTGGACACAGTTAAAGCATCTCGTCACCATGGATGTCAATATGAACTCTGGACTGTGACAGCCTGATCACCGTTGCTCCCACAGCCAACAGAAGCGCTTGTAGTTTAAGGGCAAAGCGTTAAGTAGTTCTTCAGACCTCACGAAGACTGTAAGACCACAGAGATGTGAGGCAAATACCCATGTAATTTGAGGCAGGAGTAGGCCTTACTACCCAATAGCCTTTACCATTATTTCAATGATCCATTTTATGTCAGCCTAGAAGAAGTTTTAAAAGGGTAGAATTTTTTGTGTCTCAAATGTTAAACATTCTCAGCAATAGCAAATCCATCAAACTTAATCCCACAGGGAGCCCACCTACAGCGTGAGTCCACACCACCTCAGTGGTTATCCTCTTTCCACAAGGTTCACATTTCTTCTTCAGGCTTTGTATCAAGGTGATTAAAGGCAAAGACTTTGGGATCAGACTTCTGGGTTTGGCCCTCACTGGCTGCACAGTCTCAGTGATCCTCTCTGGGCCTCAGTGTCCTCCTCTGCAAAGTGTGAAGCGTAATGACAATACCAACTCACAAGATTACCGTGATAATTAAATGAATTAAAGCATGGGATGTCAGTATATGTTAGCTCTTATTTGCACTGTCTTAAATTTAGCTGTGATCCATTGTTTGGGGAATTTTATGGATCCTGGGAAAATATGGCCTAAGTTCATCTGTAATAAGGGAGAGAGAACACATGCTAGATCTTTTTTTTTTTTTTTTTTTTTTTAATGTTCAAACCTCTAGATCAGTGATTCTCAAAGTGTGATCTGGGGACCCCTGCAGATCCCTGAGATGCAATTCCTTCAGGTCAAAGTTGTCATTTTCTTTTATTGAGAAATAATTGATCTATATCACTGTATAAGTTTAAAGTATACAGCGTGATGGCTTGATTTATAATATGAAATGATTACTACAGTAGGTATAGCTGACATCGGTCTTCTCCTATAGATACAATAAAAAGAAGGAAAAGAAGAAAGGAAAAACATTTTTGTCCTTATGATGAGAAGTCTTAGGATTTACTCTCTTAACAACTTCCCTATATATGCTACAGCAGTGCTCGCTGTTGCAAAAACCATTTCCGTAATACTAAAATGTTACCTGCCTTTTCCACTCTCATTCTTTTATGAGTGTACAGCGGAATTTTCCAGAGGCTACATGCTATGTGATGATGTCATCATTTAACAATTAATGGAATGTGTGCTTGTACATTCTTGCATTTTTAATGTTCTCAGCTATCATTTCTAACAGAGTAAATAGCAATAGCTACAATCCACATAAACAAATCTCTTTGGGGTGCTCACTAATGTTTAAGGTTTTAAAAGGACCCGGCACCCAAACGTTCTGAGAGCCTCTGCTAGACCTTTCCCAGCCAGTCACCCTCCCTGCCCATCTCAAAATCTCCAATGCAGAAATACCAAACTTGCGCTTTCCTCTGGGACTCCGCCCCCACAGATAGGCCCCTGAAGCTGCCATTCTGTGTTTCAGGCTGCCTGCGTCCGATTTCCCTGGGGACGAGTGGCTGTGGGACTATGAGAAGCACGGCCATCGCCATTCCATGATCAGAAAAGTCAAGAGGTTCCTGAGTGCCCACGAACACCCCTCCAGCCCCAGGAGCAGGAGCTATGGGAGGCAGGTCAGCGAGAGCTCCATGTTCTTCCCCCAGAGGGACCTCAGCCCCACCAAGGATCTGCTGGATGTGCCCTTGAGGGGCCCCCACCGTGCCTCAGCCTCCCGGAAGCAGTTGTCCCCAGAGGGGAGCCCCAAGCTGTACTCCAGCCTGGGGGAGCTGTCCACAATCAGGGAGACCAGCCGGACGAGCACCTTACAGAGCCTGACCCCGCAGTCCAGCGTGAAGGCCTCCCCCACCAAAATGCCACAGGTCCCCGAGGTGCGGATCACAGCACCAGGGCCCTCCGTGGACGACCACCACCGGGACTCCACTGCCTCTACCCAGAGCCTTGAGTTCACCGGGGTTCAGCCAAGCAGCACTGGGCAGCAGGAGGACCCCGAGGGACTGATGCTGTTCCCCTCAGGGGAGGGGACACCTCTTCAAGGCCCCAGTCCCCAGGCTGTTTCAACCCAAGCTGAGAAGAACATCTTCAAGCTTGCCGCTGAGGAAGACCCCTTTGAGAACGACAAGTTCCCGAAAAGGTGGAGCCTCCCAGGGTTCCTGGAGTCCAGCCACACCTCGCTGGCGGGCCGGAGCCCGGAGCCCGTGAACCCGGAGCCGACCCTTTTACTTGACACAGAAACATCCTCAGAGACCAGTGGCATCACCTTTGTGGCTGGCTCCCAGGCCTCTCCTGACGTGCGGTATTTAATGGAAAACCTGGACACCAAGGAAACGGACATTGTAGACTTTAACAACGAGCAAACAGAGGCATCTCTCAGAAGAATGCCAGAAAGTTCCAAGATCGGGTTCTAGTCTAAATTCTTATTTTCCCAAAAGTTCAACTTTAGTTCCAGAACATACCTGCGGGCTGGTTAATTTTTTAAAAAACAATCATACTATATAAGCTATTTAAATCTTTGAAGGGCATTATAATCCTGAGTTTTTCAGAACTAATAAAATCAAGCTCATTCATGTCATTTGGCACAAAGCGGTTTTCATGGGCACTGCACAGACCACAGTGATCTCTCTTAACCAAATAAGCCATCTTAAATATGTGTACGATTTATGAATTCACAGGTTGTTAGCTTTAGAAAGCATCTTATAGATCATAACCCAACCCCCTAGTTTTGCCAATAGGGAGCCAAAGGATTCCCTACTTGTTTCCTTTTTTTTTTTTTTTTCTTCTTTCCTTCAATTATAAAGACAAGGAGGTGGATCATAAAATGCTTCAAAAGCCTCATTCTAATTATAATTTTTTTTGTTTGAGGCTTTCTAACCATTTCACTCCCACTCTCTAAACTATTATTATCACTTCTATATTCTTAAGCTTCATAGCATCAGATAGCTTCATCTCTCTTCAATTTCCTTGTCTACTTTCACAACTTCATTTTTCTCTCTTCCCCCTTACTCTCCCATCCTGTTGTCCTCCCCTTCTTCCTACTCTTGCTCCTTGTCTAATGGCTCTCATCTGTCCCACCTTGCAGGTTATAATATTTTCTCTTGCCAACTCTGTTGCTTACTTCTTGGCATGATTTTCAAAATATGAGGCATTGGCAAAGCCTCCAACAGAATAACTGACGAGGTCAGCGAACCCAGCTTGGCACACTTCCAGCCTCACAGCGACGGGTGTGGGCGCCAGGGATAACCCGCCACACCCTTGGCCGCCATGGCCGTTTCCTTCCGCATCCACTCTAGGCCTTGGCCGCGGGAGAAAACTGAAGCCAAGAAGGGCATGGAACTTGTGCAACTGAATGCTATGGAACCAAAAACAAAGCTTGAATGTCTTTAACTCGAACTCGTAACGCGAAAATCCCAGTCATGTCACAACATGGGACCAGCGACTGTGGCTGCCAGGTTGTTTGGGACGAGACAGGACGTTGGAGCTGGGAGGTTAAGGGGGTCCAGGACTGCACAGTGGGGATGCGCGTAGACTCACTCCAAGGAGCCCTTGGGGTGTCTGTTTGTTGGGGCCCCCAATTTTGTCTGGAAGGCCATGTCTTATGAGTAGTGCTCTCCTATTTCTGTCATATGATGGAGCCTAACTACATATGGTTTCAGAAATAAAATAACCCTGATAGCTACCACTTACTGAGTGCTCACAGTGTTCCAGGCAGCAGCATGTACTGTTCACAGATGATCTCACTAATCCTCACAGGAATCTTCTGAATTAATATACTACTGTCTCCATTTTCTTTTTTTCTTTTAAAGATTTTATTTATTTATTTTTAGAGAGAGGGAAGGGGAAGGAGAAAGAGAGGAAGAGAAACATCGATGTGTAGTTGTCTCTTGCATACCCTCTACTAGAGATCTGGCCTGCAACCCAAGCATGTACCCTGATTAGGAATCGAACCAGCGACCCTTTGATTCACAGGCTGGCACTCAATCCACTGAGCCATACCAGCCAGAGTGTATTGTCTCCATTTTCAAGATGAAGAACACAGAGGCTTTGGAGAAGTAAAGTAATGTGACTAAAAACTCATAAGCAGGGCGTGGCAGGGCTCAGATTCAAACTCAGATTTCTCTGACTCAAGAGCCCATACTCGTAGCCAGTGTTCTCCCTCACTGTGCTGTCTGCAAGGCCCTGAATCTGCCAGCAGTTTGCCCAGAACTCTGGAGGGTGCCCTAGGAGAACCATGCCTAAATCTCTCCAGCCTTCAAGGCCTACCTGCTGAAGTCTACCTGCATCTTTTCTGCATGCATTCAGATGGACATTGCTCCACTTTTGAGCCTTGGCTATAGTCCTTTGTATTTTTCTGAAAAAAAAAGAAAGTTGGCAGGACCTTCCTTTCCCCTCCTCATCTCCTCCTGACATGCAGTGTTATAATTAGCCCATTTTTACAAGGCATCGCAGCAGTCAAACAGACCACCACAGCAGCATGACAGCAACATTTACTTTAACTGACCTTTCTCCAAGGACTAAACGGGAATAATACTGGAAGAAATGCTATACATTGATGGTTTTCTATGTTGGTCAACAGTGTTATTACCTGGGAAGGCAGTAATATTCCCAAAGCACTGCATATACAATAGGGGATCAGGCCCCAGTATAGTACTTCTACAAAGCAGGAACTTAACCTTCTCTCAGCCTTCTCTTTTCCTGGATGTTTCATCTGAGATCCCTCTATTCTCTTCTCTTTGGCTTTATCTATTGCTCAAGTGCAAATATTTCTACTTAGCTGCTGGTGAAATATAATCAATTTTTGGTACCTAAATCCAAGGTGATAAATTATGGACAAATAGAATCATACACTTTATGGAAGACTAAGAAAGTGTTGTTTATCCCTCATGCACATTTGTCCAGAGAATTATTTAATTTCCTTGATATTTCATCAAAATCTTTGGTGGCCTCCCATTTCCTCCTTACACAAACTGAACAATGATTCATTCAATGAGGCTATCACCTAGGTTTCCGATTCTTCCAGTAGAACCAGTAGAAAGTGACATGTAATTACCATTTAATTGGCATTTACTTGACCAACATTACTGATTACTGTACTATGATATTTATCTGATTTAACTAATGACCTTTAGCATCCCTTCATATACTTCTTAATTCTGTTGGGATCCCTATTTTGAAAATTGCCTTTTCAAGTTCTTTGCCCTTTTATCTATATTCCTCCTGTTGCTTTTCAGGGGTTCCTTTTAGATTTTAGAATGATAATAGATTCTTATTGGTTTTGGACATCACAACAGTTTCTTCCAATCCTTTGTGTGTCTGTTAAAAATATCCCAGTTGTTCTTTGTTGAATGGAAATCCTTAATTTTGATATTATTAAGTTCATCAAATTTTTTTTGTTTGTTTTATTCTTTTCAAGTTTTGGAAAAAATCTTTCCTCACCCCCATGTCATGATTATTCTCCTATCATTTTTTCTACTTTCTTCACAACACTAGTAGGGATCCAGTTTTATTTTTCTCCATAGAGTGAGCTGGTTTCCCCCAATCCTTCCTGTTAAAAGATTAGTTATAAGTTCCATGAGTTTCTTGCAAATCAGAGGCACTGGTATGAAATAAAATAGCATCTGAGAAAACTAACAAATAGGGTGGTATGAATGGAAAAGAGAAAGCTGAGTCTTAACCTTATAAAACTCTAATTCCTCCTCACTAAATACAACATTTCTCCAAATGTGTCATCTGCTCTTATGTTCCAACTGGTGATTTTTTTCCCCCTTTCAGTGCCTGGAGTGTGTAAACTCGTTACATTTCTCTATGCAAAAACCCACTAAAAATAGGCCCTTCTGTGATCAGGCTGAGTCTAAACTGCAAGACTAAAGCTTGATATATAAGGAGCTCTTGCTAAAGAAGAAACAGTGATGGTGGTACAGGGGCAGTTCAGGATCCTTCAATACTCAAAAGAAGGCAGGAGGGAATCCAGACAGGTGGAGTCCACCATCAGGCTACACTTAGGGCCCTGGATCAGCAGAGGCAGAGGAGGTATACCAGCAGGCCGGCATCGCTTGTTCCTGCTGGCTGAGATCTCTCCAGGGTCTCTAGGGTTTTCCCACAGCCTCAGCCTTTACTCTCCTGTAACAGGCTGTGCTCAAAGATGTATGGATTCTGGGTGTTTACTGCCATGCCTGGGACACTTGCAGGGGTTTCAAAAGAGAACTAATCTCATCTTCTCTTTATTCCTCAAGAAATGAAGCTTTCTGAAACTGGCCGCATTCTTGATATTAATAATAAACTCATTATTTATCCACATGGTCATTGAACCCTACAAATTCCAAAGAGAAAAACATTTTCAATGTTGGAAAACACTTCCAAACAAAAGATCATATAGATTTTTTTCCCCAGTAAGAACGGATTTTGATTACTTTTATTACTAAAAAATGTGAAAACACAGGCAGATCCCTGAATGACACAGTCATCTCCCTTGAAGTTTGCTCCTCCTGAGGATTCAGAGGCTACGTGTCCCCTGCTGCTCTGTCCAGGAAGAAGGTCTTGGTCTGGCTGAGGGAGAGCATGTGAGATAGCGCAATTCTCTTAGGGACAGCCCAAGGGACAGCGCATATCCTCTTCCGGCCCTGGGGGCAGCCATGCCCCTTCCACTGGGATGTAAGCTCTGCTCCCTGTCTTGTTCAACCCGCAGATCCCCTGTGCTGCGGACCGTGCCTGACACATCTCAAAAAAAAAAAAGATTAGATGAATGAATGCTTGAAAGAAAGAATGAACGAATGGATTAACCAAACTAGACCTAGATCCAAAGTTAGGAAGCCTAAAATCCCAATCAAATACAGCCGTGACCTTAGTTGTGTGGTCTCAGTCAAGTTATTTGAGCACTCTGGATTTCTGGACTTCTGAACTTCATCTTGCTCAGCTCTAAAATGAGGGGTTAGACTAAGTGATTTAAGGTGCTTCTCAAAGCTGTTACAGTCAATTTCTGGAGAGTCTACAGGGTCCAGCACAATAATGCCCCTTTTTTATTATAAAATCTTGTATTACAATATCACACTAAAGCACACCATATGATATTTTAAGTGAACTGTTCAAATTAAAACTATAAATTATTACATCCATATTATTACCCTACCAAACACACCCAAGCAGGTGTTACTTCTGTTGGATGCTGTGTGTATGGGGGAAGAAGGAAGAGATGGTTATTATGAATATTGAGAAAATGGACCCAAATGGCAGAAAGAAATGAAAAGGGGGATGAGGCAAGGAAGGGCAGAATTAACGCCTACTGGGCACTTGGGTGTGCCAAGTGTTTTCATATATCTCTTCAGGTGATCTTCACAAAATGCTATTATCACTCATTGCATAGGAGGAAATACGGAAGTTAAATAACTTGCTGAAAGTTTCACAACAGTTAAAATTTCAACCTGGGATTTGAATCCAGGTCCCTTAGACTCATCGCTGATTCTATAATTCCACACTGCATTCAAAACACAATTAACTAGAACAACAGATTAGCACTTAAGTACACAGTCACTCGACCAGCTGCACTGGCCTTCTTGGAAGGTGGTGGGGAACCTTGGGAAGCCAACATGTAATGGGTACCTATTATGTGCCAGGTGCTATGGCAAGTGCTACACACACGTGATCACACAATTCTCATAACAAACTATGAGGTGTCACTATGTCCATTTTACAGATAAGGAAACTGAGGTTCAGGGAGGTGAAATAGTGTGCT